GCTTGTCTCTTTTTACTGCCAAGCAGTATGCCATTGCATAAATACACCTCAACTTATTTATCCATTTTCTTACTGATGGTCATTAAGTCATTATTGTCACTCTTTAATTATTGATTGGTGGGAAGATCCTTGTTAGTTTTCTTGTGAACATGTTTTCATTTAAGTAAATTCCTATGAAAGGATTTTTCAGGGTCACTAAGTAGATTTAAGTTGAACTTTAAAAGAAACTACCAAAGCATTCTCCCAGTTGGTTTACCAGCAAGACAAGAGGTCCAGTTTCTCATAGTCTTACCAAGATATGGTGTTGTCAGTCTTTTTTATTGTAACCATACTAGTGGGTCTGTAGCAGTTATGACATTTATTTCCATTACTCTGATGTGTGCATCCTTTTCTTGTGTATGCATGTCCTTTATTTCATGAAGTATCTTTCTGTCCTTTGCACATTTACAAAAAATTGAACATGCACTTTTTATGTTCTTTATATATTCTGCGTACAAGTTCTTTGTAAATTGTAAATATTGTGAATATGTTCACCCAATTTGTGGTTTGCCTCTTCAGATTCTAAGTGGTATATTTTAAAAATATTTATTTTTGGCTGAATCTGGTCTTCATTGCAATATGTGGGATCTTTTGTTGTAGTGGGTGGGCTCTGCTGTGGTGTGCAGGCTCCAGAATGCTTGGGGTCTGTAGTTCCTGGCATGTGGACTCTCTAGTTGAAGTGCCTGGGCTTACTGACTGTGATGCATGGGCTCAGTTGCCCTGCAGCCAGTGTGATCTTAGTTCCCTGACCCAGAACCGAACTCTCATCCTCTGCATTGGAAGGCAGGTTCTTAACCACTTGACCACCAGGGAAGTCCTCAGGGGGTATCTTTTGACAAATAGAAATCTTAAATTTTGAAAAAATCCTTCATATAATTTTCTTCTGTGTTGCTAAGAAAGCTTTGCCTCCCCTGATGTCACAAAGATAGTTTCCGAAATTATCATCTAGAAGCTATACAGTTTGGGTTCTTTCTTGCAGGCCTGAGATAAACCTTGATATGTCTGTACAGGACCAAGAAAAATGTTGCAGCTCACTTTTCCACTTGGATATTCTGGTGTAAGAGCATCAGTTGTTGAAGACTTTTTTCTCATTACATTTTCTGGGACTCTGTCTGAAAATAAACACTATGTATGTATGGTCTATTTTAGGATGCTATCCCATTTCACTGGTGTATTGGTCTATCTTTATGTCAATAACTACATTGTTTTATTTAACATTATAATACATTTTGAAACCAGACAGCCTAAGACATACAATCTTTTCAAGATTGTTTTGACTATTTTAGATGTTGTGAACTTCCAAATTTTACAATCACCTTGTCAATTTCATCATAACTTATTACATCTGAAATATCCTATTTCCAAATAAGGTCATATTTTCAAGTTCTGGATGGACATGACTTTGTGGAGAATACCATTCAATACAGTGTATCAGTTGGCCTAGGTGTTTGTTTATCAATTTTATAATTTCGGAAGTCTCACTTTTGATTTTGTTGATTTTCTGTTAATTTCCATTAACTTTGCAAATGTCCTCAGTCAATAACTTTCAAACATTTCTTCAGCACCATTTTTATCTTCTTCTGAAACCCAATTATAAGATCATTTTATTTTGCCTTCAAAACTCAGACATTCGATTCTTTTTATTTTTGCTTTATTCTTTGGTTTCCAGCTTTTATACTTTCAATTGCCCTATCTTTCAGTTTACCAATCCTTTCCTCTGCATAGTCATATCATATTCTAGAATTATTTTGCTTTTCAAAATGACCATTTCTCTGCTGAAATCCCCCCTTTTCATGCATGTTTTCTACTCTTTTTACTAGCTCCTTCAGCACTTTTATCATAGTTATCTCCCTGATAACTGCAACATCTGAGCAATCTCTGAGTTTGCTTCTATTGACAATTTCCTGTCTGTATCAAATTTTTCTGTGCCTTTGCATGATTTTATAACTTCTGATTATATATTCTATAAAAGAACAGTAGGTACTCAAAATGGCAATTGCCTCCCAAAAGGGGAATGCCTATTTTGTCAAGTATATAGAATGGAAGGTTAGTTAATATGATTTATAGTTGAGGTAGAGATGAGCTTTGTTACTGCTAGTTTGATTCACTTGACTCTACTGGAATCTTTGTGCTTTTCATTTGAGCTGCCAGTTATCCAAACATGGGGAATTTCTCTCTGCCCTACATTCCAACTGTGTATTTTAGAATTTCTGAGGCATTCTCTTTATATTCTGTCCGAACCTTCTGAGTAGGTGAACTCTCAGGTAAACTGTATTTCAAATCACCATGCCTTGTGGAGGATACAACTGTTTACATTACTAAGACCAATAATGCCTCAGAAAGACTGTTCCTTTGTCTTGGATCTATTCTACATTCTTACCTTTCTAATAAATACACTGTTTTAAAAACCAGCACTCTGGCTGGTTGAAAAAAAGACAATATTAGGGACAGTAATCCAACATTTATTCAACTTCATTTCATGGCAAGTCTGTACAGAACACTGCTCAAGAAAAGTTGTCTTTCTCTTTCATAAATCACCGAGTACAGCATGACACTATTCTAGAAATAGATAATCTTGGTAAGTAGGATAATTAAAAAGAGTTCTTACATTATATTAGATCTCTAGGTTGGTATTCTAAAATCTGATTAAAAGAGAACTAGTTCAGGGTCCTACATGTTAGTCTGCCATCTCCTCAAACCCTGTTCTTATCAATAAACAACTGATATAAGGAGAAAAAAATGGGAAACAGCATTCTTGTTTTTCAAAATCATAATACTGAAATAGGAGACACGTCCATTTCATTTACATTTCATGACTAAAATTCATTCTTCTGCCTATACTTAACTAAAAGGGAACTGTTGTCTTGCTGTGTCTTAAGAACACAGGAAATAGCATTTGTTGATTTTGTCAGCTTAACCTCCTATTCTCAAAAGTCTACATTCAAAACAAAATTAATTAAATTGAACTACCTTACCCATTCATCCAAGCTATTAATAGTACTATCTGACAGTGCTGGCAAAGCACACTTTGAGGGAGGGTATGGTTAGCTTCCATTACTTCAGGCTTAAGATAAGGGATGAAGGCACATTCAAAAATTTCTATTTATAATCTCTTTTTAAACTTATTCATATTTTAAGCCCATGTTATTTCTAAGGGTAAAAGTTAAATAATGAAATTAAAATACTATTCAAGTAATATTTTTTGTTTTTAAAATAAAGTTGTTAATACATCTCTAAGTTCTAATATAGAAGCACAAGGCCATGTTCTTCCCTGTGCCATCTTCCCCCCACATAAACTATAATTTTATGAACTTCGATTTTATCTGTTTCCTTCTTACCATACTGTGGTCCTTCACAACTTGGATTATAGCTTCCTTGAGGGACAGGAGTCAGGATTAGATACTGTTTCACAGATGTGGTTGCACATGATGAAAATCATGATTTTCAGAGGCATGAAAAAGATATTTTATGGTTTGTACTGAAAATTTTTTTCTAGTGATGTCAGATTTCAATCGGTGTTTACTGAAATGTTTCCCATGTTCACTGTTGCTTTATATAGCTAAACAGTATTGTATTCCATTTTCTATCTTTTAAGTCCAGGAGTCTTCAGAAACATTTACCTTTTTATAACCAGCAACCTTTTCATAATTGAGATCTATGGTTCTACCATATAACCATCTTCCCTTAATTGCTCCCTCTTACACTTTAAACTTTTCCTTACCATCTTTTATTCTGGCTATGGACCCACTTCTTCTAAAAAGAAAAACCTTGTTAATCTTCTTCAGAGATTCTTTTGCAAATCAGTTGATCACTGGGCACCTTCCAAATGAGTGTTTTCTTCTTCTGAATTTAATCTGGGATCTGTAAACCATTCTTTATCCACAAAGATAAGGATTCAAGTAGAAGTGCTCCAATTACTTGCATGTCCAGAAAGAAAGAAAATTATTTTGGTGGGTGCATGTATCATAATTATTCTGCACCTAGTTTTTCTAGATTGCTGTTTCTATCCTTTAGAATTGGGGTTCTACAAAGATCACATCCCATTAAACAATGTCCAACATCTGTTCAAGGTTTCTTTTTCAAATAATTATAATTTGCTATAAATGAAATCTTAAGAAATTCCTGAGTGCAGTTTGAGGTAACTTTTATTTTATATAATTATACTTGCTGTTATTCACAAACTTCTCAGCCTTGTGTAGGAACATTAACCACTGTTTTATACAAAATGCAACTGGAGTACATTTACCTACAGCTATTTTTCTCATTCATTAGTAATTAGAATTTCACATCAGAGACTAAGCTTCATGAAACAAGTGCGAGCAAGCACGTGTGACAGACCATTTAGTATAGTATCTGGCCTTGTGGCAGGAATCAAATCAATATTAACAGAATATCCTGTGCAAAGCTTAAGCAATTAAAGTGCTCATGTGAATTCAGGTCTACTTCCCTTTAAAGTTGGATTCCAGAAGAAATAAATTTTATAAAGACTATATGAAATGTAAAACTATTACTTCAGAACCCAATTCAGGAGCTGTTGAGCATTGTGATTATTTGGGGTCCTGAAACATTTCTCTTACATAAGTGCTCCAAACAAAACATGAGTTTTAATGGTTTTAAAAATGTGAAAAGTTGGATTCTGCAGACTGCTTGGAGCACTTCTGGTTGTTTCTCTTTAAAAAAAAAAAGAAAAAGTAGAAAAAAATATACAATTTTGTAGTCCTTTGGTTTTACATTCTGGGCTAAAAAAGTATAGGCATAAATGTTTTTACATGATCCTCTTGAAGATGTCCTTTAAAATAACACCATGTCTTAATTCATGTCTCTTGATTATCAGGATTCTTTCATGTCACTGTCAGCCTCGATTAAATGGTTGAAAATTTCAGAGCAGAATAAGTAACTTTCATGAATATCTCCCCAATCCCTGAGAATCATAATCACCAAAGGTATATTTTGTCGTTTCATCATACATCTCTGGAAAGTAGCCATGTTCGTTCATTGTTAACAGGGCAAGGAGCAGTGTCATAAAGAGTTAATCCATGTAAAGTGGCCTCGACCCGTAAAGAAATTTTCTGGAACAGAAAAGAAAATTACATATAGAAGTTTGCTCCTTAAAGACAGATCACATGTTCAATATACTCTGGAAATATCTTGGGATCAGGAATGTAAACCAGTTCTAATGAGGAACAAGAGAGAGATGGCTGTTGTACCGCCAAAAGTATCATGTGTAGTACCAACAGAATTGGGAAAAATAAGTTTCTTTCCTCAGAAGTTCCTTGGTTTTCTCTGGTTTCTATGAAGAATCAATAGAACTAAATATTGAGGATGGCCTTTATAAATGTAGCCTGAGTTAATAAAAACTCTCTGAGAGAATATCTGCAAAGTTAATTGTTTTACAACCCTATTTTCAAGGCTTAACATTGTGAACAGAACACTATTTCTCAAAGCACAGAAACAAATCACATTAAAAGTTCCTCTTTGGGCTCCCTGCTTAAGAAGATAATTTTTGAAAAGGTGAGAGAGTTGCCTATAGAAAGTTTCTTATTCCATCAAAGGAAGTCTGACAGCATGTATCTAATTCTATATTTTCTTACCTGAAAATCACGAATATAAGTCAGGAAAAAACCAAAGAAGGAAAGTGACATAGACCATTCTGCTGCCGTAGTAATCATGTGAAGCACATAACCCTTAAGTGACAACAACAAAAAAAAAACAGTTCTGTGAAATTTCACTCATATGACCTCAAATAAAAAAACCTGTAATATTTATAAACCAATCAGTATTCTGAAATATCAACCCCTGATTTATTTAACATATCTCTAGAACTAAAGGTGGACATTGGAGACATCCTAAATGACCTATCACATTTTCATTTATAGCAAGTAAAATTTTCATTCAAATAACTAAGAACAGGAGAACTTAACTCTACAACCAAGAAGTCACTGCCTTTTCCAAAGTCATGAGACATTAAACGCCACTAAAAAAGTTTAAGTAAACAATGCTCAGGTTAATAGGTGTCTCAGTGGTCAAGAATCCACTTGCAATGCAGGAGATGCAGGTTCAATCCCTGGGGCAGGAAGATCCCCTGGAGAAGGGAATGGCAACCCACTCCAGTATTCTTGCCTGGAAAATCCCATGGACAGAGAAGCCTGGCAGGCTACAGTCGACAGAGTCCCAAAAAGTTGGATATGACTGAGCAACTGAACATGCACACATGCAAAAAATGCTCATGACAAACTTGATACTATATTTTGAGCATTAAAATATGGATTCTGATTAGGAGTATATAGGAAATTATTTCATTCAATCATTTTCACAATCATGTCCTTTCTAGGGCTGATTCCTATATTTAATTTAAAATAAAATGCCACCTGAGTGGTTTGTGAAAACAGATAAACTCATTCATTGTATTACCCACTCAAGTATATGCCCCACCTCCCTTTTTCTTAGGATCAAAGATACTACCTCCATTCAGATATCCACTATATTGGAATCCAAATGCAGAGTCCATAATAAGAAACTTCCAGATAACAAAAAATAGAAGTAATTTTTTTAACTTGAAAACAAGTATTCTATTAAATAATAGATTTTGGATGAGTATGTGTGCATGCTCAGTCACTGAGTCGTGTCCCACCCTGTGCGACCCCGTGGACTTTAGCCTTCTGTCCATGGAATTCTCCAGGCAAGAATACTGGGAGTGGGTTGCCATTCCCTTTTCTAGGTCAGTCGAATGTACTACATATTATATCTGTATTTAGAGGGATCAATTTCTGAGTAAACTCTGCCATCACAGCTCTCTTCAGGTCATAAAAACATTCACAGATCACAAAGAGACAAAAGCATATAGATGGGTTTGACACAAACTCTATCATTTATAGAAAATAATAATACATTACTGATTATTCTACTGAAAAAGTTTCATTATTAGTAGTGAAATGAAAAATATATCAAAATCAATCAAAACAGTCATCCTTAACATAAAACTAAGTTTTATAGCCTCTCAGTTCTTACTTTGTCCTCAGGGTTCCAATGGAGTTTCTGTACTATATCAGCACCAAAACTGCCATTGTACAAAAGTGATGAGCAAGTCAGCACTATTAAAAAGAAATAAGTCAAGGAAGAATCTCAAGGAAGACCTGTTAGTTTAAGTTAAATTCAAAATTAAAAACAAATATCTTCAAAGATCTAAAAGGATCACACATTATTTGTTTCCAAGGCCCAAAACCATTTTGTTAAAGACTTCATATTACATGGCATTAGTAAAATTTAAAATGTGCCCAGATTATTATGAAATGCTTTGCAGAGTCAGTCTCTCTTTGCTCAATAAATTCTTAGTTCTATCATAAGCTTTTGCTACACAGTTGTTCTTAAGGAGGGCATCAACTCATCTTTCCTGTCTTTGAAGTGAGTATGATTAGGCTAGACATTATCCTTGCTTCTCCCTCAATTACCATGTCCCAAGTAAAAATCTGAATTTCATGATTCAAATTAATTTAGGACTTAGTAAACCAAGAAGCTCACCCACAAAAGGCCTGTTTACAATATGTCAACAATTTTCACTTAAACTTTGTTGTTCAATTCCCTTTCAAGGGTAGCCACATTTTACAGCAAAGGATACTGCTAAATGCACTTACTCCACACCAGATAACCAATGACAGTCTGATCCAGAAGACTTGTTTGCCATGAATTTTGGGCTGCATTTGGTAGGAAAGGATAGTCTGAACAAACATATATAATGAGCCCACACCAAATGTGAGCACAGCTCCACACACATGTACAGCAAAAAAGGTGGTTTTCTGAGAGGTAAAAGGAAGAAATAAGTCAATAAAAGAAACTCCAAAAGCATCACAAACACAATATTTAAAAACACAAGTCCAGCAAATTCAACAGGACATTCACTGAGTAGGAAAGCTATGCAGAGTCTACAGATTATTTCCTGAGATAATTCTCTCTCAGTACTCAGCATAAACCTGAAAATCACAGTCATACAAATTACCTCATATGCCACTAGTGAAAACATGATAGTAATTACTCATTTAATCATGCTTATTTGGGTGCCTCTTATGTGTCAAGCTACTGTTCTAAGCATTCAGATATATGAGTAAACAAATAAGACAAAAATTTGGCCCTCACAGCTTACATTCAAGTGAAGGAACACAAACAATAAAAAATAAACTTTAGAAATAATTCCATATATGTTAAATAATGATATGGGTTCTAGAAAAAGATTAAAGTAAAGAGAACTAGGATGGTTGGGAATGCAGGAGGCAAGGAGTATCAACTTCAATAAAATCTAAATACAATTTAAGGATTCAAGAAATTAAAACATTCTTGTTTCCAGTTTGACTTGTTTTGATAAATTACACAATAAGGGATTAGCTTAAATTGCAAATTTTTTCTCTGTTACCTTACTCTTTGCTTTTGAATTTATTGTTTTCCTTTGCCTTACTCTCATTAATATCCATCTACATTTTACCTTTTACTATATATGCCCCTGTTTAAAAGTGATGACAGTAGTTCCAAAAAAATCCTATTATCAAAGCTTTTGGTTGAAGTATTAGTTGGTGAAAAAGTAATTGTGGTTTTGGACTGTGAATTTTAAATCACTGCAACTAGGCTCAAACATATCTTTATTAATCAAAATAAGAACCATCACAATGACACATTTTTGCCAATGAGAAATAAGTTTGTTTATTCCTGTAGGATAAAATTCCTTGCCTTGAAATTCAATGAACTCTTGGAAAGCATTTTCTGCCTCCTGCTAGTTGTGGAAGCATTTTCCCTGCAAAAAGTTGTCAAGATGCTTGAAGAAGTTGTAGTCAGTTGGCGAGAGGTCAGGTGAATATGGCTGATGAGGCAAAACCTCATGGCTCAATTTGTTCAACTTTTGAAGTGTTGGTTGTGCAATGTGCAGTTGGATGCTGTAGTGGAGAAGAACTTGGCCCTATCTGTTGACCAATGCCAGCTGCAGGCATTGCAGTTTTCAGTGCATCTCATCTACTTGCTGAACATACTTCTCAGATGTAATGGTTTCGCTGAGATTCAGAAAACTGTAGAGGATCAGACAGGCAGCAAGCAGACCACCAAAGAGTGACCATGACCAAGTCTGGCTTTGGGAAGTGCCTCGGAGCTTCCTTTCAGTCCAGCTACCGAGCTGGTCGTTTCCCATTGCTGTAAAAAATCCACTTTTCATCACGTATCACAATCCAGTTGAGAAATGGTTTGCTGTTACACAGAATAAGAGAAGACAACACTTCAAATGATGATTTTTTTTTTTTTGCAGTCAGCTCATGAGACACCTACTTATTGAGTTTTTTCACTTTTCCAACTTGCTTCAAACACTGAACGACAACAGAATGGTTGACATTGAGTTCTTTGGCAATTTCTCGTGTTGTTCTAAGAGGATCAGCTTCAATAATCCTCTCAGTTGGTTGTTGTCAACTTCCAACAGCCAGTCACAGCGCTCCCCATCTTCAAGGCTCTCGTCTCCTTTGCAGAATTTCTTGAACCACCATTGTAATGTATGTTCCTTAGCAGTTCCTGGGTGAAATGCGCTGATGTTGCAAGTTGTCTCCACTGCTTTACAACCCATTTTGAACTTGAATAAGAAAATTGTTCAAATTTGCTTCATCTAACATCATTTTCCTAGTCTAAAATAAATATAAAATAAACAGCAAGTACTAAGTCACTAGCAAAAAAAAAAAAAAGTGAGAAATGTACATTAAAACAGTGTATAACATAATCACATTTACTTAAGAATGTATTCCAATATCAAACAGCAAAGTTCAACAATGCAAAACCACAATTACTTTTGTAGCAACCTAATACAGTTTTCTAAACTGATGCTGTCTGTGTCACTTGGTTGACAAGATATCACACAGCACGTGGTATGAGGGTATGACTCCCCGGTGTTCACTGCAGCACTATTTTCAATAGCCAGGACATGGGAACAACCTAAATGTCCACTGACAGATGAATGAATAAAAGGCGACATAAATACACAATGGAGCTAATTCATGTCAATGTATGACAAAAGCCACTACAATATTGTAAAGTAATTAGCCTCCAACTAATAAAAATAAATGAAAAAAAAAGATGCCAAAAAAAAAATACACAATGGAATATTACTCAGCCATTAAAAGGAATGAAATAGGGTCATTTGTAGAGACATAGTTGGAACGAGAGTCTGTCATATCAAGTGAAGTAAGTCAGAAAGAGAAAAATAAATATCGTGTATTAACACACATATGTGGAATCTTGAATGGACATGTAGACACAATGGGCAAGAGGAAGGTAGGACAAACTGAGACAAAATGGGACTGACATGTATACACTAGCATGTGTAAAACAGACAGTTAATGGGAACCTGCTGTGTAGCACCGGGAGCTCAGCTTGGTGCTGTGATGACCTACATGCGAGGGATGCGGGGTGGCATGGGAAGGAGAGGTGGGAGCAAGGTCCAAGAGAGAGGGGATATGTTCCCTGGTGGCTTAGATGGTGAAGAACTTACCAGCAATGTGGGAGACCTGTGTTTGATTCCCCGAGTTGGGAAGATGTCCTGGAGAAGGGAAAGGCCACCCACTCCCATATTCCTGCCTGGAGAATTCCATGGACATAGGTGCCTGGTGGACTACATATAGTCCATGGGGTCACAAAGAGTGGGACATGACTGAGCGACTACACTTTCATAGCTAATGCACTTCACTGTACAGCAGAAACTAACACAGCATTGTAAACCAATTACATTACAATTTTAAAAGTAAAATCTAAATTAAAAGAAAAAAGAGGGTATGACTAAGGTAACAGAAGAGAGATTAGGTTAGGGGTTGGTTCTGTCCTTCCACAATCAACTATGCTAATTCACATACAGTCTACTTTTTTTAGCTGAAGGTGTAAGAAGTCTCAAGTATAAAGAAATAAAGATAACAAGTTATTTGGATTCCTTTGGAGAAAATGCTATTTTGATAAGGTTTGGGATGTTTTAACTGGCAGTAAGTTATGAGCACTGGGAAGGGAAAAAAATCATTGTTATTATCACCTTGGGTCACAAAGAAAAAAAAAATTCAGCACCCATAAACAATACAAAATGGTAGTATCTTCTTGGTTCATATGAATTTACCAGTATATATCGATAAAGGCTGCAAAAATGAAATTGACTTAGGGCTAAGAGCAGGATTTTTCTCCTTAAAAATATTCTCACGTATATCTGCTGACTGAAAAATATGCACAAGATAAAAGTTGAGTGTGTGCTGTGTTTAGTTGTTCAGTCACGTCCAACTCTTTGTGACCCCGTGGACTGTAGCCCACAAGGCTCCTTGTCCATGGGGATTCTCCAGGAAAGAATACTGGAGTGCCACACCCTCCTCCAGGGTATCTTCCCAACCCAGGGATCGAACCCAGGTCTCCCGCACTGCAGGCAGATTCTTTACCGTCTGAGCCACCTTGAGAGTTATATTTTATTTGGAAGACTTTCTGAAGACTTCAAGTCCAGGAGGCAGCCTCTCAGATAGCTCTAAGAAACTGTCCTGAAGAGGTAAGGAGTTTTGCAACAAAGATGACTACTATTAATTAACTGCGATATCCTTCGTTTACTGACGTGGCAGGCAACATTTTTCATTCACATATTGATGAAGCTAAATACAGATATAGTCTGATCAATGCCCACATGTGATCAGCACACAGTTCCATCAACAAAATCCCATGGTTAAAAGAAAAAGAATGGACAGCATTCACTACTATGTTTATAATCAGAATGGAGGTGTATAAAGCTGGTTTTAACTGACAGTACTTCGGCTTAATTCATTTAATTTTGTCATTTAGAGACTAGGGAAACAGCAAAAGATCTTGAAATGGGCAACAGATACCCTTTCAATAGTATGCTAGCGCCTGTGGGAATGATTCTATAGAAACGTTAATTGTACTTGGCTTTGATTAGGCTATTTTGAAGACAGAACTTGTACAATGATAGACATTATGTATAGATATAAAAGTTAACTTACTGAAAATGCATAGTAACACAAGTAATCAATGTGAATAGAAAGGCATACTGTGTCCTACTGAATGCAACTGACTTTCACTTTGTGAATAATGACCAGTTTTGTTAGTTTAGAATCTATAGTTTCGAATCTGTTTGTAAATTCATTTGAGCATTCCTTTTCTGACTTATAATTGTGTGGTACTTTGACTTCTTTTTGAAGTGGTTTGCAGTAGCCACTATTCCTCTCATTAATTAATAAATTAAATGCAATCTTTGACACATGTACCACAAAAGTCACAATTTTATCTTCTTTAAAAATATATCATTTAGGACTTCCCTGGTGCTCCAATGGTTAAGAATCTGCTTGCAATGCAAGGGATACTGGTTCAACCCCTGGCCCAGGAAGACCCCACATGCCATGGAGCAACTGATTCTGTGGGCCACAACTGCTTAGCCTACATGCACCCTATCGCCAGTGCTCCACAACGAGAGAAGCCACTGCAATGAGAAGCCTGTGCACTGCAACTAAACAGCAGTCCTAGATCACTGCAAGTAGAGAAAGCCCTCACACAACAACAAAGACCCGGCACAGCCAATAAATAAATAAATCTTTAAAAAAAAGAAAAAAAAATATATATCATTTAGCAAAGACAAAAACATACTCCTTGACAAAGACAAGAGAAATTATAGAGGTATATGTGTGGTCAGGGGCAAATGTTTGCTACACAAATTATAAACCATGAATTGAATACCCTGTAATCTTCACCTAAAAGTTTTAATGAAACTTAAAAACCAGTCATGTATGGATGTGAGAGTTGGACTATAAAGAAAGCTGACTGCCAAAGAATTTATACTTTTGAACTGTGGTGTTGGAGAAGACTCTTGAGAGTCCCTTGGACTGAAAAAGAGATCCAACCAGTCCATCCTAAAGGAGATCAGTCCTGACTGTTCATTGGAAGGACTGATGTTGAAACTGAAACTCTAATACTCTGGCCACCTGATGTGAAGAGCTGACTCATTTGAAAAGACCTTGATGCTGGGAAAGATTGAAGGCAGGAGGGGAAGGAGACGACAGAGGATGAGATAGCTGGATGGCATCACCAACTCGATGGACATGAGTTTGGATAAACTCCAGGAGTTGGTGATGGACAAGGAGGCCTGGCGTGCTGCAGTCCATGGGGTCGCAAAGAGTCGGACATGACTGAGCGACTGAACTGAATGATATTCCTTCCAAAGTCTCCTTGAAGATAAATTTTCTAGGAAGGGAGAATGCCATGTGACAACAGAGGCATAAATTACAGTTATGCTACCACAAGCCAAGAAATGCCAAGAATTACTAAAAGCTGAGAGAGAGGCATGGAATAGACTCTCCCTCTGAGCCCCCAAAAGGGAACCAACCCTACTAACACCTTGATTTCAGGTTTCTGGCCTCCTGAACTCTGAGAGATTAAATTTCTCTTATTTTTTAATACCCAGCTTATGGTATTTTGTTATGACAGCTCTAGAAAATCAATATAGATTCCTGCCTAGTTATCCCTTCCAAGTTTCCTTGAGGATAAATTTTTCTAGGGTCAACTAAAGAATGTCACTCGCCATCTGGCCCTACAGGGATTAGCCCTGGTAATCACTGATCTTCAACACACTCTGAACAGAGCTCGGGGCAGAGACCATGAACGAGGCACTCTGTGTGCTGGGAGAAACTGGCAGAACAGGCCTTCAGAGATAATTTTCAAGAGATAATTTTATGAACCCAAATTCTTATATCCTCTCATACTTAGAAAAGCACTTACTTAGATAGTTCTGCCTTATGACTAGCAGCAACTTTCTATGAGACGTGTGTTTGACGGAATGTACTCTTTCTCCAGTATCACATATATGCTGATGGGAGTCCCCTTAACTTCTCTGGAGCAGTTTCCTATAGCTATCTCAGAGAATGCTTCCAGGCTATCATCCTCAGTGAAAGTGAAAGTCGCTCAGTCATGTCCAACTCTTTGCGACCCCATGGACTGTATACTCTGTGGAATTCTCCAGGCAAAAACACTAGAGTGGGTAGCCTTTCCCTTCTCCAGCGGATATTCCCAACCCAGGGATTGAACCCAGGTCTCTTGCATTGCAGGCAGACTCCTTACCAGCTGAGCCACAAGGGAAGCCCTCATAAGTCCCCCAATAAAACTGTAACTCACATCTCTCACATGGTATATTTTTATTTCAGTCAACACACTAGGATGAGAAAAATTCCTAAACACTGAGGACACATATTTGTTTTGCTGCATTTTTTTTTTTTTTTGGATTGTTTGGCTGTACACTTGCAGGATTTTAGTTCTCCAACCAGGAATTGAACTCAAGCCCTCAGAAAGAGAATCCGTCTGCCAAAGCAGAAGATGCAAGGGACGTGGGTTCAATCTCTGGGTCGGGAAGATCCCCTGGAGGAGAAAATGGCAACTCACTCCAGTATTCTTGCCTAGAAAATTTCATGAACAGAGGAGCCTGGCTGGCTACAGTCCCTAGGACCGCAGAGAGTTGGACATGACTGAGTGATGGAGCACACACATACAAAAACTTTGGCAGTGAGAGCACAGAGCCCTAACCACCAGACCACTAGGGAATTCCCTTGCTGGATGCTTTTACATACACTTGTTTTCAAAGAAATTAAGCAATGTACTTTTTTAAGTCAGAGTTTTCAAAGGCCACATTGTAATTATTAGGTCTCTTTAAATGCAGACAATCACAGCAATCACAGGGAATTTTTTTATCCATCCTGCTTAGTTCCCTTAACCCTTCTCAATAAGTTACTAAATATTAATACTTAGTATGAAAGCATGTCTGTGCTAAGTACTATGTTAGGTGCTGGGTATACAATGGTGAATGAAACCACTGAGCTATACTTAATGGAGAAATATACCAACTTAAAAAATAAATTTAAAAAACATAAATAAAAGATTATACTACCAGAAGTGCTGCAAAGAATTAGTTTCCAGAGGGTTAGAGAACACAAAGAAAGAAAACCTGAAATTTACAAGAGGAAATCTACTGACAAAAAAGACTGCCCTGAAGAAATAAAGTCTGCCTACATCTATTTAGGCTTGGTTTGTAGCATGTGCAACAGCAGAAACAATACATGAATCAGAGTTAAGTAACCCTGTCTTATTTAAGGAACACAGAAAGACCCCTGCTATGTATAATATAAGGAGGGGCAATGATGCAGCATGAGGCTATACAGGTAGACAGCAGTCAGATCACACAGGACCTTTTGATTAATTAAGCAGCTTGGCAGTTTAACAAATTATTTTTTTCCTCTCTTGATTTTCTCTCTTTTCAAGTGAACTTGGACCCGTGAGCTTTAAGCACGGGTACAAGGAAACAGGAATGAGGTGTACAGATATTTCTAAAAGATTACTTTGGCTGCAGCATCAAATTAAAGGGATATAACACCGAATGCAGAAGAACTATTAGGGAGGCTATGGCAGTAATCCAGAGGAGAGGTGCTGAAATCTAAACTGGTTGAGAAGGAGATGGTAGAGACAGTCGGAAAAAAAAAATGGAGATGCAGATGATTTCAAGAAATATTTAAGAGATAAAACCAACAAGTCCCTACTTTAAAATAAGGTGCTTGCCTCTCTTCCAATTTAAGCTCTGCACCTATAACTCCTTTGTAGACCTGGTTTGTGTACAATTATTCCTGTATGAATTAACTAGAGTTTGTCTCTGCAAGAGAGAAGTGGGGAGAAGAGAAAGAGGAATTAACTCACCATTTTAAATAAGCAGTGAAAAGTTTACATTAGAAAAGAAGGAATGAGAACTGTTTGCTATGTGAGTAATGCTACAGGGTTTGCTTATAAACAGGCAATGAAGCCATAAGTAAAAGATGTAGAGCATATTCATTCAACAGGTCCAAAGGTGCATGAAAATACATATTATCAAGAGAAAAAGTAATTTGACTCAAAGTTACAAGGTCAATGAGATCCTTCTGATGAACGTGAATTAGAATGGAAGCTGAAAATAAAGAATGTATACAAATATAAACTGTTTTAATGGCTGAATGAGATTAAAGGAGAAAGGCAGTTTTGCATGGGTGCTATTAGGAACTCCCACTGGAATTCACTGGGTTGTATAAAAAATATAAGATACTAATACAAGTAGTATGTTAAATGTGAAGGTCACTTTGCAATCCATTTTTACTATACAGTGATGAGAGATATTGTTAAATTGATCACAGGACAACTGGAGCAAAGAATCACTATCCAAATACTAAAAACCACCAAACACATGTTTAAACACTGAGCTATACAAACCGACTACAGAAGCCAGGACCGTATTTGTGGTAGACAGCTAACTAGCTGTCCACACAAATGTCTGTATCACTTACATAGTATAGAGTTGCCCTGGGAACTGCTGCCCAGCAAGATTTTATTTCCCAGCCTTTCTTGTATCGAGCAAAATGGAGTGTGAGTAGAACGATGTGAGTCACTGCCAGGTCAAAGTTTTTATGAAGCAGGTGTGAATTTTACAAGTTCTCTTTGTTTCAGGCTGCTAGATGCAGAAGTCAAGAGTCTTAAGGATTTGCAAGGCCCAAAGATGGGCAGTGTGTGGACCTTAAATCACTGCGGAAGGGAAGCCATCTACCAACCAAAAATACCAGCATGTGATGCATCTATGTAAAAAGTAAACTTCAATTGTGTTAAGACACTAAAATTTTGGACTTTGCTATAGCAGCAAGCATTACTCTAATATCTATTTGGATTATGTAACTGGATCTTTAGGTTTTCTTTTTTAGCATGTATTTTTATGTTCAGTTCAGTTCAGTCGCTCAGTCCGACTCTTTGCGACTTCAGGAAAATACTTATGCTGAGTTAAAAACACAAACCTGGAAATTTGCCACAAGAGAAAGTCCTAAACAACTCAGTAATCCAAGTACAAGGCCAGCCTTGTTTAATCTGATGATTCGATTCTCTTCAGGATTCAGAGCATGAACTTGCTTATAACGAACATAAATGGTTGCAATGCCTGGGAAAAGACAATTGGAAAAACAAAAAAGTAATAAATAACTAAGGAATAAAGAGCTCACAAAAGTCAGTGGTATCTAAAAACATGGAGTCCCCCCCCTACCACCACCACTCCACCCCTTGACCTCCCTGCATGTGGGATCTTAGTTCCCTGACCAGGGATCAATCCCATGCCCCCTGCACTGGAAGCTCAGTCTTAACCACTAGACCGCTCGGGAAGTCTCAAGAAACATAGTTTCCTTTTAAAGATGATCTGAGAGAAGAAAAAACAAAACAAGCAAAAAACCAGCTGTAGTTTCTACAGAACTTTTAAGATTGTACTGTAAAACTACTATTATCGCTGTGTGACTGAGCAAGTTCTTTGCTTCCTGTGGGGCTCATGTTAAAAATATTTTGGAAAAATTTAAGAGGTGATTTTGATGTTTTCTGAAAATCTCTAGTAATAAATGTTATATAAAGCACAAACTGGGGGCTTCCCAGGTGGTGTAAATGGTAAACAACACACCTGCCAATGCAGGAGATAAGAGAGACGTGGATCCCTGTGTGAGGAAGATCCTCTGGAGGAGGGGATGGCAACCACGCCAATATTCTTGCCTGGAGAATCCCATGGAAATAGGAGCCTGGCAGGCTACAGTGCATGGGGTCCCAAAGAGTCGGATATAACTAATGCGACTTCACACAAACTATTACATATGATTAGCATTAAAGTCTAAAGTAATTAGTTTGAAGAATATGGATAAGACAGACATAGGCAAAAAACACCAAAGGATTATTTGCCTTTCATTTCAATTCAAATTGCTACAACTTGGCTCAGTCAGATACAGCGGTCAGTAACACAGGAAAAAAAAAACAAAACCCCACTTGACTGTCCTAACGGTCAAGGGTCAAATTAAACCTTCCATTGCAAAAATATTGCCAAAGAACTGAAAGTGTAGGAAACATAACAGAGATATACTTTTGTAGAGACATATTTCTGGAAACTTTAGTTATAAGATGAACTTCTGTACACTGAAATAATTTAACTTAAGTGATTGCCCTGAGCAAATAATAAACATGATATGGCAAAATGCAAATATTTAAAACAATCACCATTGGTGGAAAAAGCATTATTTTAGTAAACCATTAATAAAAAGTTAGCTCAAAAAATAATGAAAGGAATGTAAAATAGCATAATAGAACTCCATTTCTTTGGCATTAGAATATCGCTCAAAAATAAAACAGAGTTTCACAGCTCTTCTCAAACTTCTCAATTGTTTATCTTAAAGGGATTTTGCTGAGGTCAGTTATGGTCAGTATGTTGATAGCTCCTTGTCCTCTACTGGTTGCTTAAGAAATCCCCTTAAGACTCAAGGAATATTTGGTTATACTTTGCAGCTTCTATGTGCATGAGTAGTCAAATAGCTCTATAGATATTTTTAAAAGATTTATTTCCATAATTTAGCATTTCTAGACATTGTTTTTACTTTAAAAGAAACCTATCTGTCATCAATAATTTAGTGATAACTCTCCTTCAATGTAAGTAGCAAGTAAAATAACTCAATAGTACTGAACGAATAAAAGGGCAATTCAGCTATAAATTTTGATTCCCAAAATCATTCTTACTACTTACATAAAACTGCGGCGATATTTAACATTGCCCCAAACAAGCATTTTTCTGGAGCCACTGTACCAGTGTCACTAGAAGAAAAAAAAAATAGGTATGAGGATTTCTCATATTAGACTTAGATATACATGTGTATTTCTTCTAATGGATAAGAAACAAAAGAGGTTATTTCAAATCCTTTACCTTTTTATAAATTCCATGACTCAACCCTTAACTTTATAATGAGAACATGACAATTTCAACACTCAACATTTGATGTTCACTTTTTTCACATATCACTTAAGGTTGTTTCTTTTTCACATAATAGAATTCACTATAAATGGATAAAATAGCTATCCTTGTCATGCTGAGGCTGCATTACTAACTTACATCAGTCAGGCACCATGCTTATCTGTCTCACCTGAATATTCCCTAAACACCAAAGATCCTTTCAGACTCCTTGGGCATCTGTTGTTCTCTGCCTATAATTAACACCTAATTGTTTCTTGATTACTTTTTAAAAATATTTATCAAGCATCTAACAGGATTGTCAGACAGCATTTTAGGGACAAAAGCACTGTGGAAATAGAAGAGACAAAGCCCTTGCCTTGCCCTTTGGAGACTCCACTCAAGGCCAGCTTTGCGTTCTCTCCTCTCGACATCCCAGCTGACTCACAGCTTCCACTCAAGACTTCTATTAAAATCGCAGGTCACACTGTATTGCAATGTGTCTGTTTACATGCCTGTCTTTCAGTGAGGGTGAAACGCACAGATCCTCATCAACGGCCCACCATTTACTAACTGGGGAACCTTGAGTATGTTCTATGTATACCCACGGTTGTCCTCTATCTAAAAAATGGGGCTATCAATTCCTTCCCAGACTCATCAGGTCAACATAAGGAAATGAAACTGTGGTTGTGCATGCAAAGTATCTAGCATAGCTGCAGGCACATAGAAGACACTCTGTGAATGTTAGTTCCTTCCCCTTTCCTCAAACTACTGAAAAGATTAAAAAGACGTCTTTATCCTCAAATTGAAGTAATATAGGAAAGAGATAAGAAGGACCTCAACCTTGATAAACATAATTTAAAAAAAGAGGAAAGTCATATCCGCTAAAGAATCAGTAATATCTCGTGAATATTTGGATCAGGTTTAGGAAAGTAAAGTATCAAATACGGATTCTAAGGATTGCTCCTTCCCACTCTACATTTGTGTCTTTCTTAAGACACAAATGATTTTGTTACTCTTTGATCATCTTCAGGGAGTAGGGATTGTCTTTGCTTCTACCTTTCAAATTTTCAAGAATAAATGCATATGTATTATTCTTATAATCAGAGAAAACTCCATGGAACTTCCCTGGTGGGACAATGGTTAAAACTCTGTGCTTCCAAGGCAGGGGGCATGGGTTTGATCCTTGGTCGTGGAACTAAGATCCCACATGCTGCATGGTTATTGCCAAAAAATAAAAATAAATTAGAAAAAAAAATTCATAATTTTAACTGTGGTATCCCAAATGATGCTCCTGTTTTAGATTACCCATAAGTAAATAACTTATGGGGCTTCCCAGGTGGCTCAGATGGTAAGGAATCTGCCTGCAATGTAGGAGACATGGGTTCAATCCCTGGGGCAGGAAGATCCCTTGGAGAAGGGCATAGCAAACCACTTCAGCTTGCCTGGAGTATTCTATGAACAGAAGAGCCTGGCAGGCTACAGTCCATGGGGTTGCACAGAGTCAGACACCACTGAGTTACTAACACTTTCACTTTCAAGTAAATAACAGCATGTACTTCCAAGATGGCTGGCTAAGTGTGCTCTGGATCAGAATGACAAACTGGCCTATAAATAAAAATAGCCAAGCCCATCATCTCATCAGCACTGCATTTCAACCCAGTGGTCATTACATACCATTAAAAAAAAATTATCTGATCACTATTGCATGTTATTTATATTATTATGCATATATTAAATACAAGTTCTTTTCTTTTTTTGGCCACGTAGCATGGTTTGTGGGATTTCAGTTCCCCAACCAGGGATCAAACTCAGGCCCTTGGTAGTGAAATGAGGAGTTCTGACCACTGGACCACCAGGGAATTCCCAAATGAAAGTTTAAATATTTTGAAATATAAAATACATAGACGTTCTAACCATTTCCTCTTATACCCCAGTGGTTAGTCTCATGCACCCTTCCTACACATTCATAACTTGAACCAAGAGAACACCTGAAGCACACGTGCAGAATTGTCTCTGAACTGTGAATTATCTCTGAAGTGAAATTTCTATTTGGTTATGTCGTATGGGGACTGTAACAATGAAGTCTTTCAGGTAGAGTCTATGAGCTGAAAGGAACCTCGCAGAGTATCTAATTTAACTCTATCATTTTTCAGATGAAGACAATGAGCCTAGGAGAAGTAAAAATAAGTACCATTGAGTTTACATAAAATGTGGGAGGAAATTCTCCAGATAATAATACTAAGTTCATTAGCAAAAAAAAAATTAAAAGGCAGAACGACAGACAAGGAAGTGTCTAGTGTTCTATCAGAAAATCACATGCAGTACCATCAGAGAACTGAAACTCTGATAAAGAACTCAATGGCCTCAAATTATAAAGAGCTCTTTGAAATGAAAGCAAATTCTCTAAGGGGAAATAAAAATGATGAAAGACACTCACGAATATGTATGCTCTCTTGGTGTTACTAGAGAATGAACTGGCTCTTTAAGCTACAGGTCCTTTGATCAGAGTGGTGAATGGTGGTGACTTATCAAAATGATTCCTACAACTGGAAACTTAAATTCTACAGTATCTTTGGATTTTATAAATCTTCTTAAAGTAGACTCAATCTGTTGGTGACCTGTGTGCTACACCATACCATTGTGGAAACAATAAATGAAATGGCATTGCCCTGATCTCTTCAACAGATAAATTTAGCCTTTATCACCTTTCAGAAGTGCTCTATTTTCTGTGTTGGAAAGGTTATTTTTCAGAAGGTAAACAAATAAATGAAACAACTATGACAAACAACCAAACTGGGAGAAAATTAACCAAGTCGTTAATAATTTCTGGAGGGGCAGAAACTAGAGGGAGACTGGAAAAGACTTTGAATTTCACTTTTATAATTACTCTAGTCCCTGACGCTGGGAGGGATTGGGGGCAGGAGGAGAAGGGGACGACAGAGGATGAAATGGCTGGATGGCATCACCGACTTGATGGACATGAGTTTGAGTAAACTCTGGGAGTTGGTGATGGACAGGGAGGCCTGGTGTACTGCAATCATGGGGTCGCAAAGAGTCGGACACAACTGAGCGACTGAACTGAGCTGAATCACTCTAGTACTGTTTAAAATGTGTTATAATAAGCACATATTGCCTTTATAACTGGGGGAAAAAAAAAGATTATGGACATAGCACATGTAATCAAGTATCCATACTTAAATCACAAGTAGTTTTGATATTTCAAAAACATTATCAACAAATGTAGATACTTAGTGTGTTAGAAAAGTCTAGGCAACATGTCATAAAGTGTAAGATCATAGTCTCTAGAATCAAATGGCTTGCCTGGTCAAACTGAATCTTGGCTCCATCAATTACCGAGTCACATGCCCTTGAACAAACAACCTCCTTGGACCTCATTTCTTCCTCTATCAAATGGGGGTAATAGTTTCTAACTCAAAGGGTGGGTGAAAACATTCAATTATTTAAATATTTAAGAAAAATGCTTAGAACATTACCTTGTACGCAGTAAGCAAATCAACTGATATTTGCCATTACCGTTAAGTGAAACTGTTAGTCACTCAGTCGTGTCCAACTCTTTGAGACCCCATGGGACTGTAGCCCGCCAGGCTCCTCTGTCCATGGAATTTTCCAGGCAAGAGGACTGGAGTGGGTTGCCATGCCCTTCTCCAGGGGATCTTCCTGACCCAGGGATCAAACCCAAGTCCCCCGCATTGTAGGCAGATTCTTATTATTGTTGTTCTAGTATTTTTGAATTGTAAGGGGAAAATAATTCCAACTCTATCTCCTGAAACCTTGAATACTTATTTGGAAAACAGGCATTGAGGTGTCACAATTCACTAACTGAACCTTAAGCATCTGTCTCCATATTTCTCTATCACACAGAAAGAACCAAATACAACTTCCTTTTTCTGATTTTATTTTTGTAATATCAAACATAAAATTTGAATTTCAAAATGTTAAAATTAAATGTTGAGTTCAATATTAAAATATGAATGACACATACCATTCTCCACAAAAGAATACATTTCACTGACCTGATATAAGGCAAAACAGGGTCAACATGGTGAAGTGTTATAGCAGTGATATATGAAAATATGAAAGCAGCTGCCGTCCAAATTACAAGGGCTGAAGGAAGGAAACTGAGGCCTTGCTGAAACCACCACATCTCAAACAGGTCTCCTGAGGCAGAAAAAAAAAAATTAGGTAAGATTATTCATGAGTATTTCATCTATTCTACTTCAGCCCCCCAATCCCACAAAATTGTACTTTCATCCTCAGCTGTTTCACTTCTGATCAATTCCCATACCATCTACTGATACCTACTCTCCTTCAGTTTTGCAGTAAATGGAACCAGGAGTCACCCACTTTCTGCATCCAGACACTATCTCTCTACCCCATCTTTCCACACATAATCAATTACCAAGGACTATTAATTTCACCTCTTGGATTTCCTCAAATCTACTGCTTCTCTCCATCTTCACTCCTACTACTCTACCTAAACCACCTTCATTTCTTGACCAGATTATTATTATAACCTTCTAAATGGTCCTCCCTTAGTCTGGACCACAACCAACCCAGACTCTACTATAAATTTTTTTTAAAAAGCATTCTAATGCTAAAATACCAATCTGACCACTTTATTCTCCTCCAGAGAACCTTTCAGTGCCCCGCCCCCCCACCCCGATGCCTTTACAAGGTTTCTTTCCTTCTTAACATGGCCTATGGTCTTGTCTTATCTCTATCTATTCAATACATTCCTCTCTGGCCATTTCTCTGTCTGCTCCCAGTTCCCTGCCCTAGCTATCATCATCTTCACCATCAAAACAAAAACAGTGTTTACTGTGTCAGCAAGCCTACTAAGCACCTTAAACATATGATCTCCTTTATTCCTCAGAACAGAATCATAGAGGTTAAGAGAACTGCCCAAGGTCATAGGGCTGCAGTAGAGACAGTATTCAAAGTCAGGCTTCTACTCCTAAGTCACTTCAGTCGTGTCCGACTCTGTGTGATCTCACAGACAGCAGCCCACCAGGCTCCGCCGTCCCTGGGATTCTCCAGGCAAGAACACTGGAGTGGGGTGCCATTTCCTTCTCCAATGCGTGAAAGTGAGAAGTGAAAGTGAAGTCGCTCAGTCGTGTCTGACTCCTGGCGACCCCATGGACCGCAGCCCACCAGGCTCCTCCATCCATGGGATTTTCCAGGCAAGAGCACAGGAGTGGGTGCCATTGCCTTTCCATTCTAATACCAGTCATGATGCAAATCTCTTTCAGGCTGCCAAGTGTGTCATGCCCTCCTGCACATCTTTGAACCTTTGTTTTGTCTGGCTACGGTGTCACACCTCCTCCTCCACTACCACACGTTAACTGCTATACATTTCAAGTCTCAGCTCTTCCAGCTTCATCTGAGTATTCCTGCTTTGTTTCCGATGGCACCCTTACTTTCTCAACAAGGACACTGCTTGTTTGGTTTTATCTTTCTCACTAAACTTAAGAGGGCCTATCTACACACATACCACACATCACCACTTTCTCCCTTAAATTCCAGACTGAGGATGTTGGTAAGTAATAAGGTGTCAATAATATGAATTAGAAAATATCAATGTATCTTCATGCATTTAATTTTTAAAAATATAGAAATACTTTCAAATTATAAGAAATTACTATTACACATGTGAAAATAATTTCATATTTGGAGGAGTATCTTCTCATAGTGTGAGACTGCAATTCAGTATTCCCCATGAACTCTGTAAAAACTTACACTCTTATCTCCACCATCCTCCAAAGTGCTCAGCTTCCCCATCTCAGACTGATCTTCCAAATAATGAAACCTCAGCCATTTTTGACTTGTACTTCTCTTTAACTCTGACCATCTGACTTGCTACTAAATATGTACATCTAAATCTTGCTAAATAAGTTTCTTTTCCTTTATCCCTCGAGTCACCAGTGTACACTCAATTTGAGTAATTTCCTGTCTGAATCATCATAATCTCCTCTTTTCTGTTCTTTCTTCATGTCATCCTTTAACATTCCATCAATTTTACTCTCCTATTTAGTTAATCATGCTAGTTGCCTGCGGCTTCCCTGGTGGCTCAGATGGTAAAGAATCTTCCTGCAATGCAGGAGGCCCAGGTTCGATCCCTGGTTCAGAAAGATCCCTGGGAGAAGGAAATGGCAATCCACTCCAATATCCTTGCCTGGAGAAATTCCATGGAGAGAGGAGCCTGGTGGGCTGCAGTCCATGGTGTCGCAAAGAGTCAGACATGACTGAGCAACTAACACTTTCACATCGGATGCCTTGCTTGGGAACTCTCCCTAGGCAGTAAATTGGAGCCATTGTTTCCCATCTCTCAGGGTTCACTCCCAGTCCTTCTTCACCTGATGCCGATTCCTTGTGAAGTTCCTATAGGACTTGCCCCAGCATGTTTCTGGACAATAATTCCTAATTTCTATAAATTTTGAGTAACTTCTAAAAACTTGAATTTAAAATCTTTAGGAGTTTAGTTTCGAATTTGTTGGTTCCGACAACCTTGCACACTTTTTTTTTTTTTTCAATTTTTGACTATGAGCTCCTGTTTAGATGATCTTAATGGGAGTATTCTAAAAGGTTTAGATTAAGGGCGAATCATTCCAGAGAGGGTCTGTATTATTTCCAGGTACTCTGGTACATTATGAACCTGGGTTGACTTTAATTTCTTGGCTTCCAAGTTTTTCAGACCATGTATACAGGTAAATTTAAACTTTGAATCTGAGTGATGACAGGCCCTATAGTTTTAAGTTCTTATGTGGTATCATTATTCCCCCACCTGGAGCTGTGGGGCTTGAAAAGGAACAAATTTGTGATCCCTCTTTGCCAGGAAGGAGATATTTTTTTCTTAGCCCACCTTTCATTGAATATGTAGATTTTTGAGGGTCCTGGCTGATTTGAGGGGAGAGGTGGTTCTCCAAGGCCACGAGTTGTACAATTTCAAATGGGAATATTTATACTTTATTTTTTAGGAAAAAATCATCCCCTGACACACAGGCATCACCTACACAAACTATATAACATGAATGGTGTCTCTGGAAGTTATACATCCGGGAGGTCAAAGGGTTATGAATTCTCTCTCTAACTTGGGTGGTAACAGGGGCAGCCTATCATTTATCCGTAATTGTACTTTATTTCAAAGCCCCCTCAAAAGACACACTATTAGTTTACTACCCTGGTGTCAACTCTCTTAAACTTTTTAGCCCTGGGAATTTCCCCTTCTTTCCTCCGAGGACCGCTATACATTTACAAGGCTAATATAATTTATTCAGCATTTGGGTGTTTTGGCAAAAGGGATTTTCAAAAGATTTTGTCCACCCTATTGCTAGAAGCATGACCTCTTCTTAAAAAAAAAAAACCAAAAACTCCCAGAATCCCAGTGAAGGGAAATCGTTCAGTAGTGCCCGACTCTTTGTGACCCCATGGACAGTAGCCTGCACCAAGCTCCTCCATCCATGGGATTTTCTAGGCAATAGTACTGGAGTGGGTTGCCATTTCCTTCTCCAAGAATCCCAAGGGCCGTGTTAATCTCAGTTATGTTGGAGGCTGTGGTCCCAGGCAAGTTCTAGAGTATGGGATAAAGTCAGAGAAGAGAGTAGGAGTGGTGGAGATAGATGATTCATTTTGTTCAAAGTTGGGGAAAGCACTGTCTTTCTCCAGGGAGAATGGGAAAGCCTATTTTATTTTACTTTTTCGGCCTGGCCACGCAGCTTGCAGGATCTCAGTTCTTGGACCAGGGACTGAGCCCATGCCATGGCAGTGAAAGCCTGGTACTCTTAATTACTGGACCACCAAAGAATTCCCACACGACCTCTTCCTTTAATTGTTTGTGCATGTCCAAATCCTTCCTATTCTTCAAAGTCGGGCTGAGATACCATATCCACACAACCTTCCCTAATCCATTTGGATCTCGAAATAAACATTCCTTCTTCTGAGAACATCTGACTTGCACATCTCTTACAGCTCATTTTCTTTGACAGTATAAAAACTGGGGAGGGTGTCTGAAGTGGATAAAATCCTTGATGAGGAATTCTACTTCTCTACTCAAGCACAGAATAGGCACTTGCCCATAAAAATCACTCAATAGCCCAAACCAGATCCTCATAAACCCCAACATTTTTTCTATTTCAGTTAACAGTACAAGCAATCCCCAACTTACAGTAGTTCATCTTTACGATGGTGCAAAAACAATTTACATTCAGTAGAAATCACACCTCAAATTTTGCCCTTTTCCCAGCCTAGTGATATGCAGTACAATATTCTTGTGACAAGATGCAGCTCCTGGTCATTTGCAACCATTCTTATTCCTAGTTACCACTGTAAACACTCAAATAAGATTCTCAGTTCTCTTGGCCTGTGTTTTTCCTTCACCTCCATCCATTCTACATGCACTGCCAAATTAACTTTCCTAAAATATATTTCTGCTCAAAAACTTCTTCAAATAAAATTGTGTGAACTTGGACAAGCTTCATTAGTTTCTCTGAACCAGTTTCTCCTTTGAAAAATGACAATAATATTATTGGCAAACGCTGTACTGTCCAATACAGTTAGTACCAGCCACAGGTGAAGAGCTGACTCACTGGAAAAGTTCCTGATGCTGGGAAAGACTGAAGACAAAAGGAGAAGGGGGCGGCAAAGGATGAGATGGTTAGACAGCATCACAGACTCAATGAACAAACTCGGGGAGACAGTGGAGGACAGAGGAGCCTGGCTTGCTGCAGTCCATGGGGTCACAAAGAATGGAATAACTTAGAGACTGAATAACAACAACAAAGCCACATGTGACTATTTAAATTAAAAATTTCAGTTCCTCAGTTGTACCAGATGTGTTTCAAGTGCTCAGAAGCCACAGCTGTAGCTACCATACAGGATGGTGAAAATATGGAACATTTCCATTATCATGGAAAAGTTCTATTGGACAGCGCTGGATCACTATTACAGGGGTTACACTGACAGCACAAGTAAAGAACCTAAATACTTACTGATACTGGTACCTTTTAGTATTAACTGTTAAATGCTCTAAAAGAATACCTGCTTCAGAGAGGTTTATTCAAGAAGTAAATGAGATAATACATGTAAAGAAGCTCTCATGGGTGGTCAGTAAACGTTTGTTCCTCTTTTAGAATGTAAAAGATGAAAGTT